ATTGGTGTTGTTGTTGGAATTAATTCGTGAACTATTGTTGTTATTATTAAAGCGGTTCCCATTAGCGGATCGATATCTTTGACTGCTATAATTATTGAAGTTATTATTATTAGAGGAAGAAAATGACCTGTTATTCCTATAGCCAGTAAAATTGCGAGTTGGGTTAGTCCCACGATAGCCACCACGTGAAATTCTAAACGTATTGATACCACGCGATCGAAAAGTTAGAACCTGTCGCTCCTTCACCTCATTATTCTGCTCTATAATTAGTTTTGCAACTACGTCTTTAGAGTCTGAAAATTTTGTTGAAGCTAAAATTGATTTTACTAAGTCAGATCTGGCGTTTAGACGACACACGCCATTTCGTGAGCCTTTTCTTGAGTCATTCCTTCTATAATTAATGACCGCTCAAGTGAATCGGATAAATCTTCAACGCGTTTGGCAAAGTCTGAATAATTGTTGTTGTTAACGTGTAACGCCGCTATTTTCCCAGCCACAACTTTCGAGTTGTCAGGTCTGATTCTATTGCGTAGAGCAGATTTTATGTCACTAACAGAATTTATTTGTGTAGGTATGGCTTCGCGGGCTTTTCCCTCTAACTTGGATTTCAAAAATGCAATTAATGTACTGGTCAAATTTTCTTCAGCTAAGTCATGCTACGAGAGGTACTCCCCAAGGAGGAGTTCTCTCCCCCCTACTCTGGAACCTTACAGTAAATTCAATTCTGATGAGACTGCAGAGTACCGGCTGTCACGTCGTAGCGTATGCCGACGACATTGCACTTACAGAAACGGGCAAGCATCTCCAAACGCTAAGCGAACTTTTGCAGAGCGCTCTCTGTCTCGTAAACAGCTGGTCGAGGGAGTGTGGACTTAAAGTCAATCCCACCAAGACCGAAATGATACTATTCACGAGGAAATATAAGATATCGTCTTTTCAGCCCCCTCCCTAAACAGGGTGGGATTTACACTATCCAACGAGTTTAAATACCTCGGTTCAATTCTCGACAGGAAATTGGACTGGAAGCGGAACCTTACTGAACGATCCAGGAAAGCCATTACCGCCCTCTACGCCTGTAAGGCAGCGGTAGGGAAAAGATGGGGGATGAAACCACACATAATACACTGGATGTGTACGACCCATCCTTTTCTATAGGATCACCGTATGGTGGCCGGTTCTAGAAAAATCCACTTACAGAGGCGTATTGGACCGAGTACAAAGGGCGGTAACCATGTTAATCACGGGTGCCCTGCCCTCTACTCCCAGTAGGGCTCTGGAGACTGTATTGAATCTTCCCCCTACCGATCTTTACGGTAGATATCAGGCAAGCTGCAACGCAACTAGACTGAATGCAGCTCATACATGGTCCCTCCATGTTCGGTTCGGTCACTCAAAAATTCTGGGCACCATTCCAGCAGCCCTACATAAGCTGGATTACATTTTCTACCAGAATTCCAGACAGAAGCGACTGGGTAAACCGCTCGGACTTAGATCCAGGATCTACCGCTATCTTTACGGACGGGTCAAAGCTCGACAATAAAGTTGAAAGCAGAATCTCCTCCAAAGAACATTCGCTAAACCTAAGCAGACGGCTCCCTGACCACTGCAGCTTTTTTCAGGCCGAATTAACAGCCATAAGGGAGGCCGCCCTATGGCCTAAAAATGGCACAAACTGTCTACAATCCGTCACTATTTATTCTGACAGCCAAGCAGCGATTAAATCTTTACAGTGCAGTAACACTTCCTCAAAAGTGGCTGCCGAATGCAGAAGTACCCTAAACGAACTTGCCGCAAAAGTCACCATTAACGTGGTATGGGTACCCAGGCACCAGTGTTGCCGTTGAGAATTTTCAGAAAGTCGCAAAAAAGGGGTCATTGACGAAAAAAGGGTCACACGCTTTGCACAAAACAGGGTTGCAAACATACACATAAATCTAGTTGCTGCAAGGAGAGAGTTGCATCTCCCTTACAAGTTTTAAGTGATGCATTTTTTCGTACTTACAGGGAGGAAATATTTTTTAGTAGCATGATTCTGTTAGCATTTCATAAAAAATCTCTGAAAAGGGGCAAAAGCCGCACATAATTTTGGAAAAGGGTCAAAAAATCAAAAATTCAAAAAGTCAGGTCAAAGGGTATTGCCGCTTAAAAAGGGTCAAATTGCCCCTTTAGTCGCNCAAGTTTTAAGTGATGCATTTTTTCGTACTTACAGGGAGGAAATATTTTTTAGTAGCATGATTCTGTTAGCATTTCATAAAAAATCTCTGAAAAGGGGCAAAAGCCGCACATAATTTTGGAAAAGGGTCAAAAAATCAAAAATTCAAAAAGTCAGGTCAAAGGGTATTGCCGCTTAAAAAGGGTCAAATTGCCCCTTTAGTCGCACAACGGCAACACTGCCAGGCACAGTGGAATACGGAAAAACTGCGTGGCAGATGAGCTGGCGGGGGGAACTGAACTACGCACAGCAAACTCTGCGCTCGATGCAGGCGTTCCCCTGTCTTCGAGTAAGCACCGACTGAAATCTATTTTCACTGAATTGGCCAACAAACGTTGGGCGAAAGAACCAACATGTTCTGTTACAAAACAGATCTGGCCATATATAGTGTAGAACACTATCTCTGCCACTGCTCCGCTCTGGCAGGGTCAAGACTTGCTATTTTCAATGAGCATGCTTTTCGGTGTTTAGCCGATCTCAACTCTGTGGACGTCCGCGACCTTCAACAATACGTTAAGTTACACGATGGTTCTATCATTTGGGAAACTAAGGGAAAGGAACAAGAGCTCGTTCATAGTGGCGTCACAATGGGTCAAAATGGCCTAAATGTGTATCTCTGCCGTTCCGTGCGGAATGACAACCACCGTAACCTAACCTAACCTAACCTTGATTGCGTTTTCCCACAAAATTATTCTTATTTTCAACAAAAATCACGTTTAGTTTGGCGATTTTGAAATAAAATTCAAAAAGCATACGTCTCACTGACGTAAGTTATCTCAGCAGGGTTAAATAAACCATTGGGTATTGTCTCCTGGAAGTCTCCTGAAGAGAGCCAGAGTTTTCCGATCGAATAATATTGATTTTCAAGAATTCTATACCATTTGTACAAAAGTTTTTTTTTTCATATAAAATAGGCGGACAACTTCGAGCGCTTTGAGTGCCCTATAAATATTTTTTGATTTCAAAATAAAAACCAAGGGGTATATTTTTTCGATATAGAACAATCCTAGGGGCTCGTCATAGACTAACTGTACGAATCTTCATTACGAACGGATTCAATGAAGGCTCTCTACGAATTACGAATTTACGTTCGTAGCTATTCGGATTCAGTGATAGCACTTTCGTAGATTTCACCAAAATCGAACCTGCGATGGAATAAGTGAAAGCCCTGAATGTATTTATTTATAGGTGACTAATAGCTCAATTCTGTATCGGTGACAAAAATTTTGTAACTGAAAATTTTAAACTTTTTGATATATTTTTCCGTAAAAGCTGTGAAAAGAATTTGTACTATTTAATATAGAATAGAGCGTTAGCTTAAGGCTATTACAGCCAATTATATGTGCTCTGCTACTGATACATACATATCACACCTGCCTAAGTCCACCATAAGAAGGAAATTTTGCTTCAAAACAAGAAAAGAAAGAACCACAATTTCCCAAAATTGTCTTATGGTGAGCTAGATAGGTTTGATATGTATCGACTCTAGGGATGTTTCGAATGCCATATTTTTCACATTCGCGAATGCGAATGTTAGGAATAACATTAAAAAGCTATAATCAACTTAAGTCATCGTTTTTATTACTTAAAAAATTTGTAAATTATTAGTACATTGAACGAGTGCTTAACCTATACAGTGTTTTAATGTACTAGTCAAAATTGAAAAGGGGCATATTATATTTCAAAAAAGTAATTTTGCTACCTTTTCTCCCATGAGTCGATTTTTTAGAGGCTCGTATATAAGGCCGGCTGCACTGAACAATTGCTCACTTGGAACGCTGGCGGCTGGGGCGCTCAAATATTTGCGGGCCAGATCTGTCAGTTTGTCGTCTTTTAGTTTAGTTTTAAACCAATCGAGAGGATTTTCACCGAGATGAGCTCGGTTTTCTTTAAGATAGGCCTTCAATTGAGCATTACCGCCCTATTCTAAAAATGTCACAAAACTTTTTGCAGTACTTGTTGAAGGCCCATCAATATTGTTTGATATAGTTACTACTTAACCGTTTAGCGCCTGATGCTAAAAGCCGGTTATTGTCCGCACTCTGGTTAGACAGACTTACCGCCCAGTTCTGTGATTTCTTGATAAATTATTTGTAAAGAAACATTATCAAGATTTTTATCAAGTAAAAGGGGTACTGATTTCCACATGAGTGGAACTTGTAAACGCTTGTCAATAGCATTTTCAATCTTGATAATTTATCAAGAAAAGAGCTTTAATATATTTCTGTGCTAGAATTCCAATTCTTGATAAGTAATAAAAAATTGACAAATTATAAAATTTTTTTATTTATCAAGTGCACAGAATCGGGCTTTTAGAACCCTTTCAACAATATTAGAGGGGACTCTCTGCCCTTGTAGACATTCGTATTCGCAAAACATTCGTATCGTTGGATACGAATGCGAATGTGTAAAATGATGCGAATCATTCGCATAACGAATGCGAATGCAAATATTCGCAACATCCCTGATCGACTCATACATATAAGCATACATATCGCACACCATATTCAAAAGAGGCACAACTCAAAAATTAGATCCGAAAATATAACTGTTTATGGATGGTAAAGATTCAACGCAATTACTACAAAAAACAGGTATAACAGAATTTTATAGTTAGAAAAAAAAACTGTTTGCATTAATTGGAGTAAATCCTATGAATTGATTTATGCAAAAAAAACCTACGCACATTTTTTTCCTTGTGCCCCTTTTCTTTTGCAGAAGGTGTGCGATATGTATTTAAAACTTATTGATTTACAAAACTAGATGTATAAAAAGGGAGAGTACATACCATAAGTTGTGTATTATGTAGACTTTTTTCACTGGGGTGTTGCATTATATTATTAATGTCGTCAAGCAAATTCGATTTAAAAGTTGGAGTATAAGATGCGTCTATGGCATTTTTGTCTTTGCTAATTTCGGCCTCTTCGTGAAATGCTTTTCTTTCCGTCTCCAGTATTTCTTTATTACACTTATATGTTAATTGTTCAAACTCAAGTTTTTGCATGCGCTCCTTGAAGTTTCGCTCGTTTTCCGCACGTTCCAACTCTATGCGCGACAAGGCCGCACGCTTTTCTTCTTCCAATTCGCAACGAAGTTTCTCTTCCTGTTTGTATAAGATCTCTTCATGTGCCATTTGGAAATCGACCACCTGTTAGATTAAAATTAGTTAACTTCAATTTGTTAAATCGTGAAAACTTTCAAAGAAATTAAAATATACATATACATATGTATTTATATCGCAGTGGTAAAATATAATAGGGCTGTTCAGGATCTTGTGCATATCGTCGTTTAAGGTACAAAACCGCGTATCAACAAAATGCAAAACCGCGTATCAAGATAATGCGCAACCGCGTATGTGAATTAAAAAACTAATCACATTCGAAAATGCACATTTCCTACGAAAAGTGGGCATTCAATTTTGCATTACCAAGTATCAGGGAATGAATGTGATTTAATATGAATTTTTTGGGACGTTTTGGATACATTAGAATGCCGATTACATATTAAACAGCAATAGAATCTAGAACTCATAAGAAATACATTACATTCCGACTTTCTTTCAGTATGTTTGGCTGACCTTAAATTTGTTATTCATTCAGATTTTTTGTGTTATTTATGGCCTTATAACAATTATATTCAACAATTTTATTGAGCTTGAGGTCGTTTCTTATGAAAAATGTTATTGAAAATCAACAATAATTTACAAAAAGTAGAAGTTATAGCTGCTATTTCGGAGATCACCACATCTCCTCAGTGACCGCGGTTGAAGAAGTCTGATAAGTAGATGTGGTGATCTTCCAAATAGCCGCTATAACTTCTTACTTTTGTAAATTATTGTTGCTTTTCCACAACATTTTTCATAAAAAACGGCCCCAAGCTCAATAAAATTGTTGGATTCATTCTGAATGCTAATAACCTAGCCGTTAAAACAGAACCAAATACCCCTTAGAATTTCAACAAGATCAGGCCTAGGATCTTTAGGCCCGAACGACCCTACGAGGGAATGCATTTTGATTCTAATAATAGGGTATAGAAAGGATAATAAAATACAGGAAAATACATTCATAATTATTCAAGTATTCAATATTGCTTTAAATTTAACTAGAAATTAACAAATTGCAAAACATCGGAAACCATCGATATATCGATGTTTATCTAGCGATGTATTTTAGCCTCGATATTCTTTTCTCCGATGCATCGAAACATCGATGTACCGATGTTACTGCTCAAAATTTGCATCCCTATTCTTGATCACGCAGGTAATGCATTACTACTTTTCCCACTGGGATCGTACATGCGACCTACAAGGGACATGGGAAAACATTTAATGACTTAAAAGGCCAATTTTGTTATACGTTTTTTTTTTTGCGAGACATGTTACAAAGTTTAATTGAGAAACTCAAAACTAATAAACGTTGGGCATCTGCTGAATACAGTTGAGCACACATTTTGAGCGGGATGAGTGTCCAACATCATTTTCTATGTTTCTTGGTACGGAGATTACGAAAACGGGGTAAGTAGGTCGATTTAAAAAAAGAGTAAAAGAAACATGAAAACAGTGCAATGGACGACATGTAGCCTGAATAGGGGTTTTTATTATGTGTGAACAGTGACTCAAACAATCATTCAAAAGGTGACTTTATTTTAAATATGTTTTTCATGCTATAACCAAAACAATGTTAATTAAAGTTTTAATTTTTATACACAATTTAGAACAACTCAACAAATTTTCATCAAAATTTCAAGCATTTTAAATTGGGAGGTTCCATGGGAAACTGAACCTCAGAGCACAAAATTTTTTCTTTATAAAACGATCAATGTGTGGATAAGACATGAATAGAAATCTTGAATCAACCAAAAAATAACAAATTAAAGCTTTAAAATCATTTTATTGCCTTTTTACGTTTTAAAATCAAGTTATAAGTAAATTTTTTGAGTAGGTTTAAAGTAGGATGTGTTGAAAGTACTGTCATATAATTTGCTATTCTTAATTCAAGTGTTTGGTACGAAAAATATGTATTAGAACTCATCTGCGTTTAATAAAATTGTATAATGTATTAAATTGTGTGAGTGCTTTGTCTATATTATGAGTTATTATTAAGCAGTATTGGTCTTGTCCCACCCGTGACAAAAAAAGGTAAAAGTTATTATATTTAATTGCAGAAGTTGGAGTTGTGTTTCGGGTTTGTTACATAATGTTAGAACGTCATTGTCAATGTTTACCACAATTGCATTTTCGTTTCCACATAGTTAGATAATAATTCAACAGTCAAGCATGTCCCACCCGTGACAGCTACGGGTGGTACAGTTGCCAGAGGTAGATTTACAGGGCTGATAAGCTTTATTTGTTTGTTGAGGTGGACGCAGGGGAGAAGGGCGGAAGCGCGGACTCGCCCATTACCTATATACCCTTGTGGTCAGCTGATCAAGTTAAGTGACATTTTGACCAGTTTTGGTATTTTGTTTATTTAATGTTCATACTTTTTTTTATAAAAGTTTAGCATATTACATAACCAGAACCACATAAACCAACATTTCAAACTTCGTACAAAAATTATAAATTTCCACAAATTTTAACAGTTACACCCAAAAATTTTAAATTTTTTGTTCATAATTTCTAGAAAAATTCCAGGTATGCAGATTTATAGCGTATTAAATTTAAGTAGGAAAAAGTGAAAATTTCAAGACGCTAGGAGATCGCGTTGATTTTTAATAACTTTTTTGGCTGATGGTGCTAGGCTTTTTCTTCTATATAAAAGGCACTATACTAAGATAAAACGTGAGTGAATTGAACCCCTACTTGGCTTCTTATATCTTTTCATAACTAATCTTTAATATGGACCACACTAAAAGCTCATTTTCATATAAAAATTCGTACGTGTCCCACCTGTGACAAATGTTGTCCCACCCGCGACAGAGGAATTTCGGATTTTTTTATAATAAATCCATCATTTTTGTTGTAGTTTTTGCTTTGTTTGCATTCGTGGTTCTGTGATTTATTATAAGACATCAAGTTCACACAGAAAAGTGAAATAAATTCGCAGAGTTTTCGTAAAATATATCTGCTCCCAAAAGCAGGTTCTTTTTTTGTCTCACCCGTGACAGAAGAAATAACTCAGATTTTTTCCATACAAAAGCTGGCATTTTTTACCTATTTTGTAATAACTCATATAATAGTCAATTAGGTGTAGCTTTATCAAAATGTAGAATTGTTCAGTACTTTATACTTAAATTTAAACAAGAAAGACCAATTTTTCCTGTTCAAATGTCCCACCCGTGACGGTGGAATCGCCCAATTGAATTTTTGAGTATGCAGTTTTGAAGCGACCAAGTAGTCGCGCTGATTTATAATAATAATTAATTTCCTACCGAATTTTTGGTAATTCTATGGTAGCTCCGAATTGTCTTGGGCCGATATAACAAGTTGTGGTCAGTGTCGAAATAACTGAATAAATACGACTATGGAGCAACATGACTACGTCAACATTTTAAAAATTGTTTTCTCCCCTTTGCTAATGAAAAACTTGGCTTAATATTGCTTTAGAAAGCACCAGATAGAAAATTCCCCATTCATGTGATCGCATATTTTGGTATCAAAATGGGAATTAAACTAAATCGTCTACGGTATTCGCCATCGCCACCGCGTAAAGGCCTGTAAATCTTTCGCAAAATCTCTCTCGAAAACTCCAAGATCCGCTTCATTAGATGTTTTCATTGTGTATGCCTCCGCGTCATACACTAGCACAGACAAGATGAGCGACTTATAGAGTGTGATCTTTGTACGACGAGAGAGGACTTTACTTCTTAATTGCCTACTCAGTCCAAGTAGACTTGTTGACAAGAGTCATTCTCCGTTGGATTTCAAGGCTGACATTATTATTGGTGTTAATGCTGGCTCCCTAATAAACGAAGTCGTCTACTTTTTCAAACTTGTAACTCTCAACCGTGACGTGTGTGCCAAGAAGTGTATGCTCTGACTGTTTGTGTCCTCGTTCACCCACAGATCCCTTCCATTTGCTTCTCTATATAATTCCGAGAAGTCAGAACAGACGTAGCCCTTCTTTTTTTAACTGATAATGTCGATGACGTCGGCATACGCTAGCAATTGTACGCTGTTGTAAAGGATTGTGGCTGAGCGGTTCAGTTTTTATTATCTTCTTCAGCATCAGATTAAAGTAATCACAAGAAAGGGAGTCACCTTTTCTGAAACCTCGTTTGGTATCAAACGGCTCGGAGAGGTCCTCCCCAATTCTGGCGGGACTGATGGTATTGCTCAACGTCATTTTACACAACCATATTACTTTCGCGGGGATACCAAATTCAATGGTGTGAGTCAATCCTGTTCTCGCGGGTCTTTTCCAAGATTTGGGGTATTGTGAATACCTGATCTATGGTGGATTTTAATTGCAAAATTTATAGCAATCGTAAGTTTTTTAAGCCACTTTACAAAAATCTAAACAAAATCATGTCACAATGGCAATCATATGCGAGAGAGCATATGTTTACCAACAAAATATGTAGCAGCAATTTCAATCATGTCAAAATTACATTCGGTAATTCGCCATTGCTGGGACCAGGAATCGCATTTAGACCTTTAGTTTGGGCTGAATTTGTTATATATTTTTACGACTATACAAAAAAGTAGCAACATCTCCTAATACTAAAATTGGTATCTAACGAACCTTTTGAAAAAAGAGAATAGTCAAAACCGGTAGGGATTTAAAGAGCAGACAGCTTTTTTGGCACAAAAATATTTTTCACACTATGCTAGGGTTGCTAGATTTTCTGTACAATTTATTGTTACAAATTACCATTAATTAGGTACAAACAAACAAAGATATCTTAGATATATTTCTCAAAGCAACAATAAATGTTAACAAGTAATTTTTAGCAAAAAAAAACTCCCATATAAAATATATATATATATATATATATATCTCATGATCCACTGATCGGATCTCAACCAGATTAGTATGGGACCACCTCTGAGACACTACCTTTCCGATGCAAAGGATTATCGAAATCGGTTGACGTGGTCCAAAGTTATGCGGTAACATACATAAAAAAAAAAAAAAATATTCCGACGAACTGATAACCTCCTCCTTTTTTGGAAGTCGACTAAAAATAAATAACTAAATTTTACAAAAT